AAAAAAAGACCAAGTTGGGGGTTTGAGTTGAGGAAGTTAGTTTAGTTCACTCTGTTCCTCAGAGCAGGGTTTCTTTATCCTGTTGAGGCCACGTGTTTCTGTAAAAGTAAGAGGACAGCAATTGCCCCTCACCCCAGAAAAATGTGCATACACTTTCACATATAATTTTGCATCTAATTTTAGAAGTTCATGGATTCCCCCAACCCTAAAGCCCACTCTTGGGCCTCAAGGGGAAGACTGGCTATTTCAGACCAGGCCCACTAATTCTGGGCTCCCTAGTCAGCTGGGCTCCCTGGTGAGTGCTCTGGGCTTCCATGTAATTCTTAACTCTGCCCCTTAATGAGCTTCACTGTCTCAGAGAGTCACAGAGCCTCTCGCGAGTCTCCACCTCCTCACCCGTGAAGTGGGAAGTCAAGGAAAGACACATCGAGTGCCTGGTCCACTGAGAGGGCTTGATAAATAGCACCCCATCCCTGCTCTCTACCCTGCCAAGGGAAGGGGGGCAGCTGCCGCCCTGGAAACTGTGTGCCTCCTCGGAGGACAAGGCTCAGGGCTGACACAGTAGCTTCTCGCAATCCCCATCAGCCTGGACCATCCTGAAGAGGGGGCCTCCCAGAGGGATCGACCCACAGGCCCTGGAATGTCCTGTGGGATGCTCTGCAGCAGGTTTATCTGCCCTGACGTGCTGGGGAAGCCACTTATGCTGAGGACGTGGGCCTGGGAGAGAGGAGAGGCTGCTGGGAGAGCAGGAGGAAAGGCAAGGGGCCTTTCCTCCTCCCAGACAGCCCACGGTGACCTGACCCTGGCTGGATGGCCACCCAGGGAGTTGAGGCACCAACCTGGACCTGCAGTGACATGGGAGGTGCTGAGAGAGAGATGGGAGAAGCACTGAACAGGCCACGTGAAGCAGCTGGGGACCGTGTCAAGCAGAAGGTGGGTGAAGCCTGGGAGGAGGCTTTGAAGGCCTTCCCAGCAGCAGCTCCTCTATCCTGGGGGCCCACCATGACCTGGCCCTGGGCTGTGTGCTCTTATTCCTGATCTCCAATCCCCACAAAAGCCATGTGAAGCAGGGAGCATTTCCTCTTATCTGAAATGAGGAAAGTAACTTTCAGAAATCCAAGGAAACTGTTAAGTCATCAAGCTTCTCCGTGGTAGTCGGAACTCAATCCCAGGACCATACCATCTGCTGGAAAGTGTTTCAGGGTGGCACAAGGGAAAAGCACAGGCTTTGGGGGTCCTATGGACCTGGATTCAAATCTGTGTGAATTTGGACAAGTTACTTACCTTCTCTGAGACTTGGGCTTTCTATCCGTAAAACTGGAACCATACCATCACCTCCCACTGAATCTCATGCATGCGTAGGGTAGAGCACTTGATTGGGGACCCAAAAGACGGTAAGTGGGAGGATGTGTTTATCCCTCACCCCTGCAGAGCAGAGATTCTGCTCCCACCTCTGTTGGGGAGGTGGCCCCTGCCTGCCCTTGCCCTCTAAGCCCCAGCTTACCCAGCACGAGGAAACTCAGGACCCACTGTAGCACCGAGATGACCTGTAGCTGCTTTTCAACTTGGGACCTATTGAGCCAAGTGATGGAGAAGAGGTCCTGGAGGGCGGAAAGGATGCTGGAGCCAGTGCCTGTGACAGAGGGGAGCTGTCAGCCTGTTGCCACCTTCGTCCAGCTTCAGAGTCCCCAACACCAACCCACCTCCCAGAGGTACCTTCCTAGATGTGAGAGGAGCATTGGCCACAAAATTAGGCAGACCCGGGCTCACGTCCCAGCCCTACCTCGCAAGAGCTTCGTAATTCTGGGCTGTTCACATGCTTTGCTTCCCTGTGCCCCAGTTGCTATGTTTATACCCAACAGGAATGACGTCCCTCTCAAAGAGTAATTTTGGAGACCATATAGGGCATCCAAAGGGGTGGGGGGAGGCTCGCCACAGTTGCCAGTTCTTTTCACTCCCCTCCACCCCAATCAGACTCCTTTATCTGGATCTAGTACAAATATTTAACTTTTGCTATCTGTGTCTGTGAGGCCAAGGACAGAGGTTCAACATCCAATTTGCAATGTTTTTTTTCCCTCCAAGTGTACTTTGGGCACCCCCAATCCCTGGCCCACCCCCACCCCTTTACCTCCAGGACTGATATCCTTTCCCAGGCAGCTGAGCCCTTTTGTCCCCACCCCCAGCACCACCACTACCACCTTCAGAGGATTCACACCTTCAGCTTCATCTCAGTGCCCAAAGCTGGGGCCCAGAGAGGAACCAGCCAGGAATCCTTTCTTCCCCAAAGGACTCAGTGGTCAGGGAGCTTCGGGCAGCCTGGGACACTGACGGCTGCAATTACGTTTGCTACCAAGCAAGTGCCGAGCCTATAAGTTAGGACAAGATGTGCCCACTTAATTGGCTCTGTGGCTGTGCCCCCAGGATGATGCCCTGACTCCCATGGCTGAAGGGTGGAGGGACCAGAAAGCCTGGTGGCTGCAGGAGAGGCAGCACTGGGGAAGAGCATGGGCCACATTCCTGATCCAGGCCCCAGTTTTCTGGCAGCTGGACTGAGGGAGTGTGCCCCTTCCAGCCCAACAGCTGCCCTTCACTCAACACAGCTTTACCAAGTGCCAACTGTGTGCTGGTCAAACATCCCTTCACACCACCCACTCTGCAAGGCTCCTCACTGAGTCACAATCTGGTCCTTGAGGGCCATCTGACCTTTCACCCCGACCTACTGCAGAAGTAGGAAGGAGAGGGGTTTATGGGCTTACACTTAAGCCTTTTTATTTCTTCAAACTCTGCAGAGTGGCAAGGTCACAGCAGAGTTTAGAAAGGGACACAACCTTCATCTGCTGAAAGCTGACAATTCCTTTGACTTTCAGGAGGCATGTGGATAATGCCAGGCCTCAAGGGAGACACATCAGTCCTGTCACCCTTGCCTGGTCTAATGGAGCAGAGGGAAGGGGCTTAGTACGGCAGAAGAGTCAGATCCCAGCACAAACCTTAATTCCACTCACCATGTGACCCCAGGCGAGACCTCCCAGGCGCACTGCCACATCCCCAGGGCACAGCACATACTGGGTGCTCAGTAGCATCTGACACACCACAGGCATAACTGGAGTGGAAGTGGCAGGATGTGAACTCACAAAAGAGAAGGAAGAGGCTGGGCCACAGAGGCACTCCAGAGGTTGGGCCAAACTGCTCGTTTGCCCTCTATGCAAATATCCTACCATCATAGCCCTTTGCACCTCCACACTTTCCCAACATTCCACCCTGGAGACTGAGGGCCCTCTGGGGTCATCTAGTGTAGCCCAACAGAACCATTGGGGAGGCTGAGGAGAGGAGCACTGGTTGCCCAAGCAGGAGGTGATACAGCCAGAGCTGGAACCCAGGATTCCTGCCCTCTGCTTAGGGCACAGCAGGTGCCGAGTGCAAAGGCCTCTGCCCACAGGATACAGCAGGTCCAAGGGTGGCCCGTGCTCAGCAGCAGGGAGAGTGCACTGGGCGAGTACAGTGGGGAGGGAAGTGAGGCCAAGCCTCACAGGCCTGAACCCCGAATCTAAGGGTCGGCCCGCCAAGTTATCCCCTGGCTCTGCCTCTGGAGCTGTGCAGGAGGGAGGGAAGAAAGGACCGTGGCAGGCAGGTCCCCGCATCAGGTCTAGGGCAGGCTGGGTGCCCTGGCTCGAGAGAAGACAGAATATACTCCAGGACCTTCCTGCTCAAAGTCAGGCCTGGGAGCTGCTTACAAATGCACGGCCTGGAGCCCCAGCCAGGAGCTACTGAATCGAAGTCTGCATTTTACGAACACACTCAGTCCAAAGTGTCAGGTAGGGCAAGTTTGGAGTGGGGGGTGTGCAGGGAGGAGCTAGGGGCCTCCACTTTCCACGGGGCAGGGAAGAAAGGCAATGGAGGGGAGGGCATGACTTGATCACTTCCTACTGCAAACAGGTCCCCGAAGAATGCTTGAGGAAAGGGCTCGCTGTCCAGCCCCTGGCTTTGGGTCAGGGCCAACCAACCGGTCACACTCACTACATGTCGTTCTCCGCTTTGCGGGGGACAGGGTGCACACAGTAATTCCACATTGGTGACATATTCCCCATCAGAACAACTGAAAAGACCTAAAACTTCTTCCTTGTTTCCTAATCCAAGCCTGTGTGCTAAGCTTATTACAGATCTCTCACAGTTACATACAGTCAAGGTGGCAGGAACTGCAGACCGTCTTGTTCAACCATCTCCTTATTAACCAGGCAGAAGGAGGGCTTCGTATAAGCCCCACAGTGGCGGGTCAGGTCGGCAGGTCAGCCAGAGCCAGGCTTTCCCGCACTCCCCTGCCTGTCCTCACCTGCCTCATCCCAATTCCTGCCCACAACCCCTTCTGCAACCAAGTGGGAAACACAAAGTCCACTGATGAGGGCTGGGTGTTCCTGCGGGCGGGCGGGTGGCCGGGAGGGAGCTGTCACTGTGCGTCCCTGAGGCCCGGGCCCACTCGGGCCCACTCTCCCTTCACACCACCCCGACCTAGCTGAGCACAGAGCCCAGCCCTAGGAGCTGGCCTGTCCATGATGCTGAACCCCAGGCCCAGCAGAAGCCCCCTGGGCACCTAATATCTAGTCTAAGAAACATCTGCCTACAAAGCCGCTCCTTGCCTTGTCTACTTGATGACCCCCTGACAATGAGATAAGGCAGCTCATCTTTCAAAACCCAGACAGGGCAAGACCTTGGAGAGTGGTTGTCTTTCCTTCTCTGGAATCACCAACCCTAAGTCCCATGCAAGCGTGGAAGCAGCAGGAGCCATCTTACACTCCCCCCACCCGCCAGGAGAGAACCTGTCAGTTGGTGAAGCCAGCAGAGGCCAGCAGAGCAGAGAAATAAGGGAGGAATGGAGGCTTCCCACAGGGCTCCCACAGCCCCTCACCCTGTATCACCTGCTGATTACCAGTCCCCTCTCCTGTCACCATGGGAGCTGCCCAAGGGCCTGGGTCTGATCCACGTCTGGGTTCCCGGTGGTCTGCCAGGGTCTGGCCCAGAGCCAACACTCAGAAAGGTATGCTGAGTGAGAGGAATAGCAGGTCTCTGCTCTGGCTGTCCCTCAGCCCCCCACTCCCAGCTGTCTCTCTACAGGGCTGGGCGACAGGTAGGCGACCTACATGGCCCATGCAGCTGTGGGACCTCCAGAGCATTCCACAGGCACCCTGGTTCCTCATCAGCCCTGTGAGTCTGGCATCATCACTTTTATGTTGATGGTGATAAAGGCCCGGGGAAGTGACATGGCCAAGGTCACTCAGCTAGAGGGTGGCTGAGTTGGACTCAATTCAGGCCTAACTTCCAGGGCTGCTGTTTTACCCCTATGCTGTAGGTCCTCCGAAGTTTCTTCTCTCTTCTCTCTACAGAAAAGAGGGGAAAGGTTGGGAGGGGACATGAGAAAATGAATGGCCTGTTTTCCTCCACAGGGGCAGACCAGGAGCAGGCATCCTGTGAATTGAGTTAAGTGGCAGCAGGCTGTGGGCTTCCAGTCCCAGTTGTACCACTGACTCCTGTGTTATCCTGGCCAAGTCACTTCACCTCTCTGGGCTCTGGTTTCCCCATCTATAATGGGGGTGAGGAGGATGAATTCTATGAGCTCTTTGACTGCTCAGACTCTGGTGTCCACCCTTCTGAGGACACCACGTAGGGGCCCACCACCTTGCAACAGCCCTGGTACAGCTGCCTGGCAGATGGAAAGGGAGGATGCAGCTAGGAACCCCCAGGTCATTGCCCGCCTCACCCCTCAGTTGTCAGCATCTCCTCTGCCCTGGCTATGGCTGGGAGGGGTCCAGCAGAAGCTGGTTTGGATGCCAATGCTGCAATCAGATGGCACCACTGCCACTGCCATCATACCCAGCCTGACTGTCCCCAAGTCCCGGGTGGGGCCGGCAGGGAGCCTCAGCACCTGGCCAAGTCTCTGCTCCAGTCTGCTCCCTCACCACTCCTTCCCCGCCTCCAAGGGCACGCTGCATTCTCTGCACACCCTCTCCGCACCAGCCCCACTGCAGCCAGTGTCTGTTTACTTGGCCCTCCTCCTCTGCCAGCATCTCCTGGGTGCCAGGGTTGGTACCTGATTCATCCATGTGCCCAGAGCCAGGCCAGATCTGTGAGAGAAGGAGCTCACAGAGGTTTACTGCATGAATGAACAAACCCATCAGCCCCAGAGGCAGCTTAAGGCCTGGATGCCCAAGTTAGACTCAGCTGCCTGAAAGGAAAGCCCCTAGCCTCATTTCCTGAGGACCCTGGAGGCAAGGTAGGCAGCGGGGAGTGGGCCTCTCTTGCCCTCCTTGAGCATGAGTCCCTAACTCCTGGAGGGAGACGAGATAGGTCATAGAGTAACTTGACTTGTTCTATGAAGAAAAGTTCCTAACAGCCAATTCAAATAGCTATTCCAGGGCACCAACGATTCCACCATTTATTTTACACACCTCATGTGCTCCTAGATTTGGGAGGGCAGGGTAGGGTGGAGCTGCCAGAGAGGCCCAGAGCAGTACTCTTACCCCCAGAGAGGAATCCCCTCCCCTCCCCAACATCTGTATGAGGGTTCACTGTCCCTCTGCACTCCCCGGGAAGACAGATACAGCAGGGATGGGCAACCCCGTTTCAAAGAGGTGGAAACCGAGG